ATAATATATAAAGTGAATGTAATATATTATAATCACTTAATTAGTGCAATAATGATATAACGCGCCTATTTTGCACCATATGATTACTGGCACAGATAGCATATAGCACTTGCCTGGGTGGAATCGAAAGTGTTACCCCGAGAAAAGTATATAAGTATTTAATTTTTCACATCTAACATCCCGGGTTTCTGAACTGTACTTTCTTAATTCTAAAAAGTGCTTCCCCAGTGGAGGAGTGTATTAAACAAACGGACACTTTTTTATTTTTATACTCTTTCCGCCTTGTGGGCACTAAGAGGGCCTCTTATAACATGCCCATTATGGGTTTGGTCGGGCCTAGAATGGGGCGACCGGGTGGTGAGGGACGGGCCAGACATATCCGAACGGACCACCTCCCGAAAAATTCCTGGAGATTTCTCGACCCGACGGGATTCCATTCCGAGTCCCCCAGAGCGGTAGGCTGCCACCTCGACCGCTCGGCCACCCGGCCGAGCGGAGCATTTATTGTGACCGCGTCACAATGACGGGCTGCAATTTTTCGTCGCAACGTTCTCAATTGTTTTAATGGTGGTCTTGCCTCTATAAGTCATATTTTTCCTGTTAGCAACATAGTCGTGCCGATTATCTATGTAACTTCGTTGGGGGGAAAATTTTAAATCGAAGTAACGTGACCTCCTGTGCAAACGGGAAGTTTGTATGTGGTTAATCTGGCCTGCTGTCCCTAAACTTTTCACCATTCACGTGCGATGTGTAGTTTTGGCGAAAAAGTGAAATATAGGGACATACATGTCCATTTTTATATATATTTATATAGATATAGATAGATAGATATAGATATAGATATAGATGATGGTGTAATTAATGAATTTGCTGAAATGAAAGCCAGAAAAATTCAATTAAAATAAATACTATTAAAAATCTATTGTAATATATTTGTTTTATTATTTTCCCAAAACCAAATAAATTAAGGGGCCTAAATGCAAATTCTTGCACAGGGCACAGAAATGGCTAGTTACGGCTCTGTCTATACGGGTCCTTCGACCGTGAAGGTATGTATAACGGAGCGTGTAAAGGTTTCAAATTTGTACTGCACCAATGTGCAAGACCGTGACAAGGAAATGGATAGAATACAAAAGGTAGCGAGAGGTTTAGGATACAAAACGTCCACAATCAGAGGCCTTATCAAAAGTTATGGGAAACAAAAAACTACAACTACAACACATAACAACATAACTGCATTCAACAAGTTCACACGCAATGAACAAAGAAGAAAATTAGTGGATGAGCTAGGAAAATACAAAAACACAAAGATAATTTACAAACGAGCACCCAACATATATAGATTATTAAGGAACGATAAGGACAAAATAAGAATGGAAGAGGAAGCGGAGATGTACACTATCCTATATGAAAATCAACAAATAGGAGTCGATAAAGAATATGTAGGGGTGACCAGAAGAAACCTTGCAGCGCGTGTAAAAGAGCACAAATATAGTGTTAATAAAGGACTCGATAGCACGATATTGCAAGCATGGCGCAGGCGGACGGAGTAATAGTTAAGTGGGATGAAGCGAAGATCATAAGAACGGTACACTCACCGTCTATAGCGATGGAAATGGAAAAGATAGAGATATACAAAAGTAAAATGAGGAACCCATGTTTAAATGAAAAGGATGCAAATACATTACCAACAGCGTGGAAATACAAAATAGAAAAATGTACGGGTATCAATAATCCATAAAATAGGAACTGGAGATTATAAGAAGTTATCTATACTAATATTATAAAGAGGTAATGTTTGTATGTTAGTTTGTATGCAGCAGGTAATCTCCGAAACTACTCATCCGATTTCAAAAATTCTTTCACCAATATTTAGAATGGAACTTCAGGGTGCACATAGGCTGTATATTATTCCGCTAAACATGGGAGATGGACAGTTCTTTACGGTAAGCCTTACGGGGAAGGCTTACCGTAAAGAACTCTGCTTCTATTTATACTATTTTAGATGCGGTTTTTTGCGTTTTTGATTGCGTTTTAATAGGGTACATCAACAGAATGTACACTAAGAAAAAATTTTTCGAAAAATTTTCCCCCACGGGGAAGTGTTATACATTTATAATAGATACATTTTGAGCCACAACAAGGCGTGGCGGGGTCTGCTAGTTATTTTATAATTTAGAAGCATGTAAAAATATGTTATTTAATGTTATTTAATGTTTGTAACACGTATAAGGACATATTTTATTATTTTATTTTATTTTATTTACTTTATTTTGTTTATTTATGTAATATACAAAAAGTTGTTAACTTATTTCAAAAATTCAAATCAAAATGAAATTCGAAAGAATGATTCCAATTTGGAACGATAAAGAAAAGCCTGAGGATGGCCTATCCAAATAGGCCGAAAACGTTTGAATAAAGAGAAAAATACTCGGCAAGTAGAATTCAGGTGTGTTCATATTTATATTTAACATTGCTGAGAAGGAGAGAGATAGCTTTTACAATATTTCACGTGAAATATCGGGAAAGGCACGACGCTCGTGGTGTTTTTGAGTTAGTCGCAACGCGTTGCGGATGATTTAAAGAGACCGCAACGCGTTGTGGACGTTTTTCTCGCCCAATGAGCGTTTTCGTTCTCCGAGCCTAACATATACATCGATGAACTCGTAGACAAGTTAGCAAAACCAAAGCAGTCCATTGCCCAACCACCGATACCGTCTCTCCAGATCTAATCAAAATAATAAAAAGACGATGGACAAACAACGGAAGCAATATTACAAACAACACGTGTTCCCGTGGTTAAACCAACAACGAATCATACGCAGCCGATAACCTCGACCGACTAAACACCATACTAGCGACAATTAAAAGAGCGCGGACGATAATATCGTTATCGCCAATCAATTACTATATCGCCGCAAATTAAAGCGATCTGACAAATGCGAGTGCGGTCCAAACAAAATAGACAGTTCGGCATCTTGTAAACGGCTGCACCATCTTTCGCGACACCCCACAGGAAAGTAACCAAACGAACGAAAACATCGAGAAATTAAGCGACGGCCTACGTCTACATCTACTTAAATTGTGTACGAGAACATTAATCGTTGGACGGGTAACAGAAAAGCGAAAAATGTGCAGGTCGAGTATGACTCGCCAACGACTTTGTCGCATCCTATCGTCCATGTAACAAAACGCTAACTTAATATTATATCCATTACTGAAAAATAAACACCCGAGTTTGGTTTTGTTAACCGTAAACATACTTTGCTTTTTGTCCAGTACATCAATTGGCAAAGCTTATGGCTCGGATATAACAAACGACGCCGTCGATATATTTTTCATTGGTCGCAACCGAGTGATGGCAGTAGAGAATAAACCATGTAACCTCTTAAATAGTGTAGAATAAACTTAAACGTTTTCGATGCAAAATAATCCCCATCTAATAATTCGCTATCGGAACGATCTCCGTATAACGGATTCGGATTACGAAGCAAATTTTGTAAATGTTCTTTCGGTTGTACTTGGAAGTGTGTATCTTGCAAATCTAATGATTAATTATATAATATTCCTTTATCAATCTTGAAGTATTTATAAGGGAAGGTGGGCCACGGACAACTAGTTAAGATTTTTTATATTTACCGCTCAACAAAACCGTGATTACGTATACAATAACATTTGTTTAGATCCTAGTAAAAAGACATTATAGTTAATGGCTACGGTGCAATTATTCTACGTAAGCTTGCTCTTCCATGCGATGAAAGTTTAATGTTGTTTGGAGCAACAGCATACAATAAGGGTGCGACTATGGAGACGAGCGAGCGAGAATATGTGACGAGACGCGATAAATATCAAACCCTGTCAGATATTAATCGACCTTTAATCACTAAAATTTAATAGCATCGATACCCTTTATATACAGTTACCTTGCCGTATTTCGTTTCTTACTGTTTACTCCATCCTCGGATATTAAACGAAATAAACGTCCTCCCGACACACACACACACTCTCAGACGTATACATACAGTATATACGTACAGTACATACGTGCGTATCAACGGCATTTTCTTCCAGTTTTCTTGACTTTTCTGGGTTCGGGAGGTCTCGAAAAACGAAGATTTGAAAAAAATCCGGAGGATCAAATTACACACGATTCCAATACTTTTCTTTACGTATAGGATACGTAACAGTAAAATCAACTTTTTGGAACTTGTAAAATGCCGTGTCCTTTTTCGTTTACCAATCGAACAAACCGATAAATCCGCTCGCTATTGTCTTTCCGTGTCAATTGACAAATTATTTTTGTGTTTCCGCGAAATTGTTCAAATATAAAAAGTTGTTATAATGATCGGAAACGTAAGTCTGGTGTTTATATCTTTTGTTGTAAATAAAGAATATTCGTAAATAAGAAAATCAAATTTTAACGATTTAAAATTCAGAAATGTTTCATTTTGATTGGCCGAAACGAAGCGTTATTCCTATTCAAAATTATTCATTAAAATTTTTGTTCACGTCTGTTTTGAACGATGCGACGATCTCGATTTAGTGACATTTTTTTCAAAGCGCGCTTCGGACGAATGTCCACGCCTCTTCTCGTTTTTCAGGCGCTTTAAGAGTCCGTTCGGTGAGTTCCTTTGGCACAATGCACATCGAATGATTTTCGTACCAACAGAGGATTTTTTGTTGGAATTTTTGGCGGTCCTGCGCTTACGTAGTCCGGATAGGACTCTTGTTTTTCCACGCGAATGACGGATGACGTAATGTGTGGCCATGAATTTCTTTATTTCCTTGACCCGATCGTCTTTCTTTTTAATTTTGCGTATGGGACAGAATTTCCTGAATTTTCTGGCACTCTCGATGCGCTTCTTGCAGTAGAGATGACCGCCAGGCAGGAAAACCGAGTCGATGTAAATATCCAGACATATAGGACATTTGACGTGAAAAATGTCTAATTCTTCCTCCGCCATTTTTCGATGGGATTTCCAACAATTGGCCAGACATTATTATTCTATAATACAGTTTCTATTGATTATTCGTTCAATTATTTCTTACCTGACCATTTTATAATTTAATTTAGATGTACTGTACTTATTAAATTTACATCCTTCGTATACAAGAAATGCATTATCGTGTCGAAGTGGTTCTATTAAATCCCGTTTAGTCTAATGACGCTAACAAAATTTCGTACAAATCACCTTTCTCCCTGGCGGTGCAGACAAACAAAACACAAAACCATATTACTTTCACGGCTGTTATATATGAGGGAAGGAATGACCATCGGTCAAAAAAGACCTCCAAGATTTTTACATTTTTGGACTCAGATGATCTTGAAACGTCGAGAAATGCAAAAAACTTCGGGTTTTTTTTTTCGTATGTATGGATGTTAGTGTGTGGTAGGCACGAGTTTGTTCACCCAGTTTGAAGCTTAATAACTCCTGTGCTTTTTGTCGAAAATTTCTGAAATTTTGCAGGAAGATAAAGAAGGTCGCGTGTATCTCCAGTAGGGTCGGACTTAACGACGATTTTACTAGTTATTAGCATTTACAATTTTTTTATAAAACCCATCCCTTCTCTCAAAATTAAGCAATTTACCATTTTATAATTGTTAAAAATATTTCAAAAATTTAAAATAAAATATGATAACAGATGACGCCGCCAAATGCTGCCGGAAAAGTTAGACAACTCGTTGCTGGTTTTTTAATTAAGTAAAAAAATATTCATGTTTGTTTTGACTAGGTTTGGTTTGATGAGATACGGTATCGCAATATGTGGGCTATCTGCCAACGGAAATGCTTCCGGAGAGGACTTTCTATACTAGTGTTTCTCAACGGGGGCGATATCGCCCCCATGTGGGCGTTTTTCCATGTTGATGGGGCGATTAGAAACAATTTATATTTTGGGAGCGAAAAACAATTTTCTGGGCGATATAGTAAAACATTATATTAAGAATAATTAGATGTTTTATTCGTTATATCGTACAATAATTAAACAAATAACATTATACTAATCTATACAATGCGGTACGAATTTGGCGTTAGCCTTTGCCCTTAGCATCGGAATTTTGAAGCGAAGGGGGAGATACTACGTTGAAGGGGGAGACGATTCGTTAGAGGTTGAGAAACACTGTTTTATAGGAAACTGGTTCCTATTTCGGTGTTACTAACGTGATGAAAACCCATAAAAGTCTGATTGGGCAGCCTGTTGTTGGGTGCGAACCCGCGCCCAACTGCTAGTGTTCGCTGGCTTTATTCACTGAATCATTGGTGAGAGTTCTGACTATAAACGATTAATTTATCTATCTATATCTATATATATGTGTGTGAGAGAGAGAATGTTTGTTTGTTTGTACGCTATACATTCCTATGCCGTTCGACCGATTGCTATGAAACACGGCAATTACGTTTATATACTAACATAGGTAATGTCGGAAATCCCACTCGAAAACATTGGTAAGATTTCTAAAAAATTAATTTTTATTTAAATTTGATTCGCTGGCTTTACACGTAACACCATTTATTAGCAAAAATTTAAGTAAATAATAAACTAAAAATAATACTTACAAAAAAGGATATTTAAATTAAAGTGATTAATATATATATATTAATCNTTGTATACTTTTAACTTAGTTATTAACTAAATTTTATTAAAATTTATTAGAAGACACTCCGACAGTTCCCTTGTCAGTGTGCTTTTCAAAGCATGTATATACAAAACTACTCTGTAGTGTTTTAACCAATTGTATTTAGAATATAATTTCAGACTTTTCTTGCATATTATTTTAAATGTGTACTAAAATTTGGGACATAAATGTAAACTTTTCCTATAAAAATAGCAGCCAAAAAAATGTATCAGGAAATATTGGGTTGAGTAATAAGTCTTTGCATTTTTTATGTTATTTTAAACATTTTATTTAACATACAAATACAAACAGTTAATCAATTATATATGATCCATTTTGTTGTATCACTAGTTTCCATCTTTCTATCAATTTCTCAATTCCTCTTCAGAAAAAGCACAGATTTTGAGACTATATATTCCACAATAGCATTTTTGACTTCATCAGTTCAAATAAATTTTTTTTAATCTAAATAATTCTGTAAAGATCTAAACAAGTAATAATCTGAAGGTTCCAAATCCAGAGAATATGACAAATGAAGCAAAATTTCCCATTGCTATTCTTCTTTTTATAGGGTTAATTTGGCAACATGGTCTTATATTATCATGGTGCAGTATGATGCCCTTGCAGTTTACTAGCACCGGTCTTTTGACCTCTAATGCTTTGCTTAAATGGTCTAATTGTTCACAATAGATGTTGGCATTTATGGTTTGGTTCAGATCTATCAGTACTAATAGTTCATAATACACTATTCTCTTTACGTTACTTTTTTTTGAGGGGTGCAGTCTACTTTTTGGTGTGGATGTTGAGGGCTCTGTTGGATTTAGCCATGATCGTTTCTGTTGAATATTAGTGTATAATATCCATTTTCCATCTCCAGTAATTACTCAATCTAAAAAATGGAACTTTCTTTTGAAAATCAAATAATAGTTTTATGTAACAATACTTAATCATTGTGCGAGATCAGTTTCTGTTAACTCACATGAACCCATGCATCTAACTTAGGAACTTTTCCAAGCCTTTTAAGATGGTTGCGTACACTTTTTTGGCTTATATTAATTTTATAGCCAAGTCTCTTGTGGTAGTTCTTGGATTGGCTTTTCAACCAGAGCCTTTAGGTCATCGCTGTTGACCATGATCGGCCAACCAATGCTCATCATCTTTCAAGTTAAAATCTCCCTTCCAAAACTTAGCAAACAAAACTGAGCTTTTCTTATCTTTAAATGTCAGTGCCAGAAATTTTTGATGTTGTCTTAGTTGCATTTAAATCTTTTCAGAAACAAAAAAGCAAAATGTGTCTCAGGTGGATGTTGTCTACTTCTATTCACAGAACTAAAATGTTCACAAAATAAAATTAAAACTATTCAAATCAGTTTAACAGACTGGACTTTAACTTCTTGTTTGTATAAGTTGCAATAGTATTAGTAAATGAATAAGAAAGAAATTAACTTAAACAATTACATTATTATTATGATATTTACTAAAGTTGTAATATATTATAATCACTTAATTAGTGCAATAATGATATAACGCGCCTATTTTGCACCATATGATTACTGGCACAGATAGCATATAGCACTTGCCTGGGTGGAATCGAAAGTGTTACCCCGAGAAAAGTATATAAGTATTTAATTTTTCACATCTAACATCCCGGGTTTCTGAACTGTACTTTCTTAATTCTAAAAAGTGCTTCCCCAGTGGAGGAGTGTATTAAACAAACGGACACTTTTTTATTTTTATACTCTTTCCGCCTTGTGGGCACTAAGAGGGCCTCTTATAACATGCCCATTATGGGTTTGGTCGGGCCTAGAATGGGGCGACCGGGTGGTGAGGGACGGGCCAGACATATCCGAACGGACCACCTCCCGAAAAATTCCTGGAGATTTCTCGACCCGACGGGATTCCATTCCGAGTCCCCCAGAGCGGTAGGCTGCCACCTCGACCGCTCGGCCACCCGGCCGAGCGGAGCATTTATTGTGACCGCGTCACAATGACGGGCTGCAATTTTTCGTCGCAACGTTCTCAATTGTTTTAATGGTGGTCTTGCCTCTATAAGTCATATTTTTCCTGTTAGCAACATAGTCGTGCCGATTATCTATGTAACTTCGTTGGGGGGAAAATTTTAAATCGAAGTAACGTGACCTCCTGTGCAAACGGGAAGTTTGTATGTGGTTAATCTGGCCTGCTGTCCCTAAACTTTTCATATAAGGACTTTCATCTATTAAACTCTGTTCTGGAGATTAAGAAAGAGCAGACATGGGACCACAGTCGGATTTAAAAATTTTTTTTCAATTTGCAGCCCAATAATTTTTCTATAAATGCGATATCTTCCCACATAGTTCATACAATCTGTTGCCAAAATTTAAACAATTTATTAGCACACAAAAGCAATTATTCTCGCATTTTTACAAGACTTTTTCATTTAAACAAGTTTTATATGAAGTTTTTCGGACGTTAAGATTAGCAACTTCGATCACGTGCCACCACAATCCATCCAACACGAATCACTTTTAAAATATTTATAGTAGACCGGTATTAATTAATTAGTAGTCGTTGCCCATCCTCTCTACGTCAACGACTACTTTTGCTCCAATTACTTCAACCCCCTTCTGCAACAGTCCCTTCCTCCTATCCGACCAGCGGTATGGTGGCATTCGAATAGAAAAATTATAGACTATAATACGAGGTTACCAACCCGCACAAAATATATTTTAAGTGATTTTCGAGAGTGCCGATTTTAAATATTTGGTCCGTTTTTGAGAAATTTGATTGATTAGCAGATTACCGTTTGATATTCGTTTGTTTATGGCAACGCAACACTTTGGGCGATCTGCCTAGGGAGGATGCCTTCAGAGAGGTCTTTTTAAGGGAAACTGGCCCCTATTTAGGCGTTACAGACGTGGAGAAAACCCGAAAAACTCTACGTGGCTAGACTGTCCGAGCGAGGCGCAGAACCCACGACCGAACTCCCAGTGTTCGGGGAACGAAGACCGTTCGGCCACTGGCGAGCCGTTTGATATTCGGCTGCGAAGGGTACAGTTTCTTAGAGTTAACATTAGAAAAAAATATGATTTCTTAACAAACTTAAACTTAAGATATATTTTCAATTGGTGTCCACTCGACCAATGAAATTGTGCCACTTCATACCATCGGAGCATCGCGATAAACGTGACAATGGTAGGCTAAAATAACCAAAGTAAAATTCTTTATTACTCTACCGTACACAATGTAAAAAACTCACGTACGTAGGTTAACCTTTGTAGTTATATAAATTGAATACTATCCGCTAGTTTATTATAATTAACGTAGTTCATATTGTTTTATTACATCAAGATCGAAGATGACGTACAGTACAGTTAAATCAAACTGTACTGTTTGCTTTCGATACACCGCGGAGTATCGAAAGTAAAATTATTATACAATGCTTTAATTCGCACGTATTTGAGTTATTTTATTCTAGATAACGTTCATTCATTTCCACGCAATTGTATCTTTAAGAGCATAAAACTAAGCGATAAAAGTAAAATAACTGTATGGGAACCCCCGTGAATCTTAATTTATTGACCGAAAGTTTCGCCAGCACCTCACCGATAAGGAGAAATGCTTAAGTTAATTTAAAATTTGAGCTTTCTAGTCCCAGTAGTTTTTCTCTAGGAGCGTCTGTAGTGTCGGATGAAGAAAAAGGAAAAACTTTTTTGGTGCCCCTTAGGTCTACGGCACTGGTCCCGTTGCCAATGCATTGCTACGACTCCGTATGGCGGTAGAAATTTGTTGGTGATGTCTTGTTCCGACAGGAACGATGCGATTATTTTGGATTGTGAAATTTTGCATTATCCATTATCTAAACAAAAGCATCCGAGATGTTACGCTTCGTAAATATATTTTGCGCTTTGGATTAAAAAACTAACGTATTGTCGAGAGCTCCCGAAACATTGCTACTGCTCCGTCCCCATAAATTCCACAGCCGAATTTCATCGAAGAATGTTTCTTAGTGTTTAAAAAACAGATACCGAGTGAAGCCTAAATCTACAACAATAGAGCAAAATGTAACTACCATTGTTCCTTTAATCAACAATACGAAGAGAAAAATTGATTTTCACAAGTTTTACGTTCCTTCGAGGACAGAAAGCGTATAATGGCTCGCGTGTGTGGGTGCGTTTCCTCCGCGTACACCAGGATACTGTCGATAGTACAGTCGCCGCCATCTCTTTCTTTCACCGTCGTTCCCAAATGCCTACAAACAGCGGCGCACGCCCGTAATGGAGCTACCCCGCTATTAACGAACACACTGTACGAACCGTTTACCAATGAGCTTATTCATTTACTTTAGAAAAATACAGTTTAGTCAACCAATCTGTAGCCTATATACAATATCGTTGATTATCGCGCACTTACTTAATTGCCTACTTAATTGAAAATTCGTATTGTATACGCTTATACATGGTGGCGTTAAAATATAAATCAAAGGAAATCTACGATGGCGTAGAAAACGAAACAATCGAAGTAAAATTAGAAATAATATTATTGAAACGGCGATAATGGTTTGTATTAGATTTATTGAGGAGTTTTCTTTAACTGGTGAAATCCGTCGCCTCTATTCCGCATAATGTCGCGTGTTATTATTGCACCGGTTGACGAATTGGTGAAATCCTTGCCAGAACAATGGCAAAGATTTTATTTTCGAAATGCATATTTTCTTTCGCTAGATGCTGCGACGGAGTATAACGAGTTTATTTGTGGCGCAACAAAGTATACCATTCACAGTTTCCAGCCATAAATAACGGCTTTAGACATTCCGCCATGTTTTATTTATTAACGTTATCGCGTGTACACACGGCCATTTCTTTGCGCGACGTCACTTATAGAGTTGTAATTAAAAAAAGGGAAAGGAGAAAAGAGAAAAATATAAAGGACAATTGAGATGCAGTTTAAAAATCTACAGTCGCCATCGCCGGATACGAAAATACAATCGATCCGATTGTTGCAATTATTAAGACGGGAGGAGCACTCGACGGCCGACGTCGAGTGTCGAGTGCAGACAAAAGACTGATTTCATTCCCCATAATTCTCCATCGAAAAACTTGATTTTTACTTCAAATTATGACGTATCAAATGCGTCATAAATTGAGAAAATCGGATTTTTTTCACGCGATAAAGCCTCAGTGGATTTCGATTTTGGATTAGGAATATCGCTTCATTTTACTAAGGAAGCGCTAAATCGAAGGAATAATCCGAGACGAAACTGAAAGCAAATTCGATAAACGGCGTAATAAATGGACATTTTAAAATAGACCGACAGTTTTCGTAGTCATCTAATGTAATATTAAACCGCCTTCGGCCGTCGAAAGAAAGTTATAACGCTTATCGTTTCCGTAATTCTACGCGCTACTTTCACTTTCTTTTTCCTCTCTCTCGACGAATCAGCGCCATCTATCGGCTCGAATTTATTTTTACCAACCTCGACGGAAGGAGCGAAAAAGCGGATCTGACCACCGACCGCTCGGACTTCCGGGAACCCATCCAATTAAACTGGTTGCATTTTTTTTTCGGTGCAGATTTCCTCCTCCCATCCGCGGGGAAACGGGTGGAAAGTATAGCGCAGATACGTAAGACGATAGACCCTCGGACGATCCCTTTTGTAAAAGTCCGAAGGAAAAAGAAATGGAGAATGCTCGGTCCATAAGAGGAATTAAGGCGCTTCCTACTTCGTTATCGGAGGGATTAACACGCGAGCAAACGTCATCGTGGTAGGAATGCGCCGAAAAAAAAAGGCGAGCGACCGCCGTGGGCGATCGAGTGTCGACTGGTGTCAGAAGACGCCATGACCGTCGACCGGGACGAAGACCGCGGCGAGTACGACCGACTCAGACAATCGGTAAAAGCAGTTTTCTAATTAACTTGCCAGTTTTGCCCTTTTAATCGCGGATTCGGTGTTTTCAGTGGCTGACCGTGGAGGACTTGGAGGAGAAGAGGAGCATCAGGAAGAAGATGCTGGAGATGAGGAATCGCAGAGTAACCCGAGGTAAGTGACTTCCGGATCCGACTCGCTTTCCCTTCCGAGTGCCCCGCAGTCTGACAACGACGTTTGACAGAAACTGGGAGGACTTTGGAGCGGAAAAGAGGCGGCGGACGGAGAAGAAGAGCTTGGACGGAAGGAGGAAGCGGAGAAGAGAAAACGAAGAAGAAGAATGCCGACTCGAAGGCCACTCGAGGAGTCCGGGAAGGAGGTCGAGTGCGAAAGAAGGTGGAGAAGTTGGAAAATGCCGGCTGCGTAGAAAAAGTGAGTGGATCCTGGCGGAGAACAAAGGAGTAGTGTCGACTCGGGATATTATTTCCTTCGGTCCGGTTATTTTTCCTTCCTCTAAATGGTTCGGTTGTTTCGTCGGTCGTCCGTCTTTCCAAGGACAAAATCGAACTTTCTTCTTCGCGTCGCGCCGCTTTCCCCTTACGCGGCGCGTCGGCGCGAGACACGCGACGACCCCGGGAAACGATAAAGCAGTGTTTTACGAAAATGGTCGGGTCGACGTTTGTCGTAAATTTGGAAGCGTTCCAGAAAAATCTCGGTTTTCCTTATTCCTTAGAAGTACGAATTTCGCGAAAGGGGGATGGTCGCACCTTTAAAAAAAGTCGTTCGACCCAAATAGACGATTCTTCGCCGCCGCTAATTTCCTTTCGCTTCCGACCCTGGGCGTCGGAGCGCCGCCCGGGTCTACGAACGTCCCCGATCTTGCTCCTCCGCCCTTCGTCGCTTCTCCCGTAAAAAAGCCACAAGGTCTATTCCTGGCGCCTCCGACACAATTTGCAGCCGAGACTCCACCTGGAGTCGGAGAAAGAAAGCGAACGTGGGTGGCGACGCGTTCGTCCCGTCCCAATTAATATTTTGGCCGCTCCGACCTTTCCTCCCGATTTAAAAGTGGCGCGGACGACGCCGGGAAATGGAATGAGAGGGAAGAAGGACAGACCAGGCCTTGGCGGTTTGACGGGGTCTGTCTCCGGATGCGGTCGTCGTTTTTCCCCTTCCAGACAAAGAGCGATAATTAAAATTGCGTTTGGCTCGATGCCTTCGAAAGGAAAAGATCCGCCTCCGCCCCACGCCCGCGCATCTTCTATACTTAGAGAACTTTCGGATCAGCGATTCTCCTCCTCCTGCCGCCCCTCCTCGCCCCCCAAATGCTCACGCCTTATTTTCTCGGATTCGGGCCGCTTTCGAAACGTTCTAAAAGCGCCCTTCCTTCGGAACGTCGCTGTAAACAGACGGGGGCAATCGCGCGCTCCTACGGCCAAAGTGAAAGCGGCGCAACCCGGAGAGAAAGACCCGGTGTTGGGATATTTTTAACTTTTCCATCGACGTCACGCGCACGTGCCGTTAGTAAAGTCCCGACTCTCGGCCTCGAACTCGGTCCGACTCGGACGTCGAAGGTATCGTAAGACGACGCCAAGACCGTCGCTCGGAGGTGAGTGCGACTTTTCTCCGACTCGGCGTAGTACGGGACGACGCCCGACTCTCGGATTTCGCCTGCGCGGCTTCAAGCGCAATTGGAAAAACCGTCGTTTTCCGGGCGAGAAGGGTGGTTCGTTTCGGTAGTGGGCTTCATCTCGAGGAACGGCGGAACTTCCGTCCGTCGTTGGGCTACCGGAAATGCGGTGGGTGGGAGTAGAAATTTCGGTCGATCACGTGACGGGGCGCGTGAGGCGTGTAACCCGATTTCGGCGACGACGCCTTTATTCGCGATAGAAAGGCTGCGGGACCGTCTTTTGCACGTGCCGGCTGGCGAATCTCTTCGTGCGCCCATCGGAAGAGGGGGATCGGGCGTCGAGGACAGCGAAGAGCCCCCGTCTTTTCTTAGGTAACGCGTCGAATTCGTTTCGTAATCGGCACGTAAGCAACGCGTCTGGAAAATTAAGAAAAATAAACCCATTCGTATTTTTAGCCTTTTAATTTTGCTGGCCGAGCTCTTTAAAACACAACGAAACCAGTCTATTGGCGACGGAATGGCGGCTTCTCCTCTAAGCCCGTCCGCGCTTCGGAGAAGCGGGAGAAGGACGGAAGGGGGTTAAAGGTGGCGGGGACCGGCGTTCGGATATATTCGACCGGCGCGGAACGTGGGCGTCCCTTTCCGTCGCCAAGGTCGAACGTGGGACATAATTGGAAAATTCGGAAACTTTCGGGGCGACGTCTCTGCCAAAAGAGAAAGAATTTCGTCGGTTATTAACGTTGGACGGGAAAAGGCCGATTTGGACGAAGGGGAGGAGCCGCTTCTCTCTCTCTCTTCTTCCTTCGTCTTTCGTCGCGGCCCACCCCGACCCTCGGGGACGGAAAACGCTAAGCCGAAAACACCGGGAATTCGGTGGCGGGGGCGCAGACGCGCCGTCGCTTCCCTCCGATCTCGGCCGTCTTTAACTAAAAAGGAATTTCTTTGGGTCTCGTTCCAGTCGATCCAGGTAAAGAAGAAATCGCGCGAGATGTCGGGGGCGGACGGAGTCGATCTGAATAGCATCGAAGACGAAGTTCGGCTCTACGAGATGGTGAGTGACGTCTCTTTTCTATCTTTCGTTTCGGCGGTGCTCCGTTTTTGTCTCGGCGGGCGGCGGAAACGTGACGCAATTGCCAGTAACCTATTTTTCGGTGTATCGGAGAGGAGACGCTTTAAAATCTCACGGCAAAAGAAGTAATTCCGTTCAGAACGTAGGTTTTGGCCGTTTTGTGCTATTGTCAACGTATTTCTTCTAAATTCCTAATAAACTCCGGGATGCGGCGGGAGTCCGAATCGGTCGTTTCTCGTACCCCAGGCAGTAGAATACCGTATAAAAACGAAATTTTATTCTATTTGTAAAATTAAATTTCATATTAAATGTGGCGAATAACAATTTGTTTGTCTAAAATGACGTCGTATAGGACGTCATTTTAGACATAGGACGTCGTTTTCCCAATAAACTCGTGCTTACTTTTTATAAAAGGAACCTAAACGACTGTTTATTATCTTTATATTTTTATTTAAAAATGCGCCTTAATTCTAATTGGCCCTTATATTAATTAATCGAAAAGTATTGTTTATAATTATTGGCATTTTCCATCGAAAGCGCAAGTATTTTTGCGCTCGTGTCTGCGTTTCGTCTTTTATCCACCGACTTAACAATCGCAGACAACCGAGTAACCTTTTTAGTATTAAGAACAAAACGGAACGCCGCTAAAAGTTACGCTAATTGCCGACCGATGGCCGATAATTGAGAAAACGTTGATTTTTAGTTGGACGCCACCGAGGACTTCGACGAGAGGAAGAAGATCCGAGCCAGACTGAAAGAAGTACAGACCGCTCTCAGAGGTAAGTCGTCCTCTTCCGACTTCTTCCGCCTGACCGACTAGTTCCCTAGTTAAAACGAATGAATAAAACCGTCCAACATTGATCGTGGATTCGTGACTGGCCAAGGGATGGCCACGTGGAGTTTACCAGATTGCCTTCGCGCTAGTAATACCTAAATAGGGGTCAGAAATCGTTCCTGGGAGGCATCCTCGGTATCATTTTGCCTCGAACCAAACAACAAATGACAATAAAGCGTAAAAAAACTCCACCGAGTAACGAACGACAAATTAGACGATCCTGTGCCCTACCCGGTTAAAGTTACGCCCGATCCCATTCTTCGGAGGAGGTTCTTCCAGCCTGCGATTCTCGTAGAAACGGTCGCCGGTTTGTCAGGGTAAATGTATATTGTTAACTTTTCAGCCAAACGAGACGAAATGATGAGGAAGAGGGAGGAGGAGCGAGAGCGCGCCATTAGGGAGAGATTTCAGGAGGCGGCGGAACAAAAGAAGAGGACCCTAGCCATGTACGACCAGATGGCCAAGTCTTCTCCCGCCGGAGGTCCCAAGACTCTGGATGTCAACACCTACAAGAATGCCGACGGTGAGAATCTCTCTTGCAACTCGATCTTCGGATGAGCCTGAAACTCGTCCCCGTTCGAATTTTGCTCCTAAGTAAGAGTGAGGACTTTTGTCCGTAGGTACGACTAAAGAAGCGGCGATTCCGGCGCCCAAACGAGACCTGGTGGAGGAGGGCATTCAACAGAGGAAGAGGGAGGCTGACGAGAGAAAGAGGAGGATTTTAGCCGCCTACGACGCCGCTGCCAAGTCCGGCGCTCCGGGACCCAAATCCCTCGACATCGACACCTTACAAAAACCTGAAGGTAAGTTCTTCTTTTCCGATGGAGTTTCCGGATTCGATTTCCTCACTGTTTCCTCTTTACAGTTCCGGAACCGACCCCTGCCAAACCCACGCCCAGCTGCACTTTCGCCATGTCCGGTGGAATTCCTCAAATATCCAAAGGTACGATCCGGTCACAAACACTACACCATTTTGCCCACTATAGTTGGACGATTTTCGTATTATAAAATGTGTTGCCCGATGAGGAAGTTAGCCAACTTGTTTCCCCTACAGCCAAGCAGCGAACGGCAGCCATTTTTGTTTCGAAGTGCTGTATTAGGTAACCGGTGGCAGAAGGAGAATTAACGTTCGCCCTCTCCATTGTCGGGCAATAAACCCGTCCGCCGAACACGGTTGGCCAGCAAAATCGTGTAGTGTTCGTCCTACTTTATCGACAAACTAATCTTCCTTTCAATCTTTATTTTCGATATAAAGGTTGACGTTTTCATCCCTTTTCGTGTTTCACGCGATTAAACCGGCCTAATCCCATTTTTCGAGCTGCGAGCTTCGAAATTTCAATCTTCGTACGAAGTGAACGGTTGACTTGTCTGTCAGTTTCGGTTACGAGAGACAATAGCTTCCGTCGGCTAAAACGGAATAACCAGAAAACCAATAATGCGTTCTTCAAACATTTTTCTGTAAGAATTTAACCTCCGTAGATCGAGTCGAAGGACGTTTTTTCAAATTCGGAACGGAATTTTCTGTTTACTTTCTTGGCTGTCACGTACACGAGTAACAGGGGGAAGTATTCGAATCGTTTGGCATTGCGGGTTTGTTTGCAAATCTCGAACCCAAAAAGAAAAAGTAAAATAAAAATAAAAGGGAAAAATATTCGGCGTGTGTGTGGGCGTCAATTTCGTTTAATACCTCAGGATGGAGTCTAGTTTTAGAAACGAAATTTGGCATAGATTTCATTCAATTATGGTGGTTAAAGTTCAAGGGGTGAGGAGATCGACAGGGGTCATATATCTCGAGTGGCGTCGGACTTATTGAAAATTTTAATCCTTGTTGGCATTTACAATATTTTTAAAAACGCATCTCTAGCCTCAAAATTCAGCTTTTTACTTTTTTAATTATAATTAATAATATAAAAGTTCTTTAAAATAAAATCTCAACACAGCCGGGAAAGTTATGCAACTCGTAGTTGGATTTTTATACTTTTGTACCTTTGACATTTTACAACACAAATATTTATATTAGCGAACGTCAAAAGTACAAAAGTAGCCTACATTTTCGTTTTTCGTACAAATGGTTTGGAACCGAGGATTTAGCGGACATTGCGCGTGGACTTTCCGCTACGTTGGCTAAAAATCGTTTGGAAATTTTCCGGAAGCGACGTTTTCTCTGTAGAAGGGTGACGACGACGTCGAATTGTTTTTCAGAAAACCAGGCGAAAACGTCGGCCAGGTCCAAGTTTCAGCAGATGGACGCCAACGTGGCCAAACCGCAAGGTGCCAACAGACCCAAGTAAGTTCCTCCCCAAGAGTGTTTTCGTGGATTTCTTTCGGCCGGTCCGGATATAATTCAAACCGGAATCATACGGCATCGAAATTCCTGGTCGTGATTCGTCCCGGACGAAAAGGTATAGTCAAACTCCATTAATCCGGGGAATAACGAAGAGGGGTGCGCCCGAATAACAAAGAATCTATGTACCGTATTTTTTATTTATTTGACAGCAAGAAAGTTTTGTTTTTAAAGCTTTCGTCTTCATCTAATGCGCAATTAGTTGCATACCCATATTTATTCTAAGGACACGGCGCGTTTCCTCTTAAGCTCAGTTCACACCGAGCGAATAGCGAAAGAGAATGTGAAAAGCGAAAAGCGATTGCGAATTTTAAGCAACCAATTATTTGCGAGCGAGTAAAACGTCATCTCGAAAAACAAAATGGCCGCTTCCGATATTCCGTCGTTAACCACATTTGTTTATTTATTGAAAAGAAAAATAAGTCAAAAAGAAAACGATGTTGGGCGAGAGAAATACTAAAATCCGTAATTACAACACGTAATCTATTGCGTGAGGAAGTTTCCGTAGCCATGTCGAAAACAACAAGAACCGCGGGAATACGATTGGTGCGAAAAAGCTCGACAGTTCCGAACTTCGAAGCGATTGGCGAAATGGTAAAATTCGTCGCGTTTTTCGCTTTCGCTAGCGAATCGCGCTCAGTGTGAACTAAGCTTTCGCAGCCATTTTTCTGACGAAAGCGGAATTTTAAACTAAAACTGGTGACGGGCGGGAATACGCGTTCTTCTACGAAAATAATCCGCAAAGACTACACTTTCTGTGTCTGTACCACTAAATTGTTTAAAATTGATTTATACGTACGCAATGTACAATTTGTAATCATCCCGAATTCGAGACCCCGGTTAATCGAACCCCGATTAATGGCGTTTTCGCCGCAGTCGTTACGTCTTCTCAATACCCAATTAGGGTATTGACAAGACGTAATGACAAAGAATTGCGTGAAAGAGTGTCTCGCGGTTTCTCCGGGACGAAGCAATTTCGACCCGATTGCACGAGGATTTCCGTAGGAGAGAATGAAAAAATAATCGATAAATTTGGTTTCGGAAGCTATCGATCATTTTCGTAATTTTACTTTAATTTAACAAATAAAACTTTACTTTCCTTTGCAATCCGTTAACTCGTCCTTTTCGTTTTTTTCTCCCGACCTCTATCGACGTTCTCCCAACTCTTCCTTCGACCTCTCTCTTCTTCTTCCGAAAGTAAGTAATGTTCCTCTTTCTTAAGCTTTAGTAATTTCGATCCGCAACCCTGTATCAGGGGTCCCCAAACTTCTCGATTGCCGAACCTTTAAAAATCCCATCGACTCCCTCTTTTTTTGCTAATACAATTAATAATAATAATAAAACTGACCAGTATTAATCGTTTTCGTAGAAATGATCTATTTACGGTGGTCAAATTTACAGCATCCCGAAATGTCTTACATATAACCTAATGGAATAATAATTTTTAATGAACCGTTTTCGATCGACCTCTCCCGAATACCTTAGTAACGTCTGGGGGTGGATATCGACCACTTTGCAGACCCTCGCTCTATAAGCAATTCGCGCCCTTTTCTAGTTACTTCGCCAGATTACAGTCGAGTCTCACCATTTGCGTTTTCCGAATTAGCTTTAGAGCCCCCGGAGTGGGTCGAAGCGCCAGCGATGTCAAGGAGATGCTCCTATCTTGGTGCAAGAATAAGACTAAAGGATATCAAGTAAATCTAATAAATTCTCCTACGTTCCCCCTCTTTTGTTTCCCTCTCGAGAAATCGTCTCTTTGGTTTTCCAGAATGTGGACATCCAAAATTTCTCGACCAGTTGGAACGACGGAATGGCCTTTTGCGCTCTCATCCACCACTTCCATCCGGACGCTTTCGATTTCAACGCTCTCAACCCGAAGAATAGGAGGAAGAACTTCGAGTTGGCCTTCCGAGTGGCGGAGTAAGTCGGGCTTTTCGGGTGATGGGGAGATTCGGCGGAGGGATATCACGCGATTTTTCCGTTTTCAGAGAGAAGTCGAACATCGCTCCGTTGCTGGACGTGGAAGACATGGTGCTGATGAAGAAACCTGACTGGAAATGCGTCTTCACCTACGTCCAGAGCCTGTATCGTCACCTGCACGATCTGGACTGAAACTGCCTGTTCCTTTTCGTTTCTCCGGATTTTCCGAGAACCCGATTTTTAGGAGGTTCTTCCAACGTCCTTTAACTTTTTATCATTTTTTACCGTTTTTTTTTGCCGCGGACTAACGCCGTAAACTATTTGTGAAATCGAGTTTTTATAATTTTCGAATGGGATAGAATGCGCTGCCGAATCTGTAAATATGGAAATAAATCATTATCGATCACGTTTCTCATCTCTCTCATTTAAATACATTAACAATTGGCAACAATACCGTTTCGGACATTGTCGAAGACACCAGACATTCGAATGAAATTTCTTTTCCGTTTCGCCGTTTTTCTTCTCTTAAGCATTTCGAAGGGGAACGAAGATGCCGGTAAAGATGCCTTTTCTATAAAACGTAGCCTTTAGATGTTATTTAGCCATAAAAACATCCTACAAACTGACAAAACCAGTTTCTGGAGGCGGGAAAAGATCGACAAACGATATCCGCTACAAAGAAGACAATTGCGTTTCCTTCTTTTTTTTTCGGGACAGAAAGAAATCAAACTTTTCACCAGGTTATTCACCCTTTCCGGTTACTTTAACACTCCCTCTTACTTTTCTAAAGCGTTTTTACCAATAATCGAAGATCCGTTGGTCCCCGACGATATCGATTTTAAATGCCCATCGTCAAAGTTCACCAACAAACCGACAGGCTTAATGATTAACTTTGGCAAAGGAAACTGACGAAGGGATCGCGATACTATTTCCGTAATCACTCGAATTACGAAATAGAATACGTAGTAAATACGAATTCGGAAGCGTAGCGCCAGTGTGAAGTCTATTTAACGTCGATAAGCCGGTGTCGTTTGTCGACGTCGCATTAGATAGCCTATAGCCTCCGTTTACTTTTTCGTTAACTGATTTTGTCGACGCGAAAACAATTGAAAAACGTAACGGCAATAACGAAAATCGTATACCGTCCTCTCATGGTCAGGGCCGTCGAGAGCTGGCGTGGAGCCCGGGTACAGCGCTATTTAATTTTGAACAAACGAAATATTTAGAATGGTGCTTTATTACTAAATAACTAGTTTTAAAGATTTGATTTTAATTTTTTTAGTAAAGATAACATTAACTTAGAAATGTCTCCAGTTCCTCTCCATCCCGTTCATAGTCTCCAGTTAAGGATTTTAAATCGAAATGCAAAATGCGGAGGGTTTAATAGAGAGTGACGTTAATTGTCCCTCGGTCAATCCGATTCCAACAAACGGGAAATCAATTGCGGGACCTAATCGCAGGGCCCGCCATCGATTTCTTGCTTTAAATACGTAAGCAACGTTTAAATTATTAACTTTAACACGAAATTTTTGCTAATAATGAATATAGATAAGAGATCATTTTTTAAGGTTGAAAGACGAAATTTAGTTTAGAGCCAAGGGCTTACGCAGAGAGGGTAAACGGGGCGCTGCCTCCCCCGAAATCAAATAAAAAAAACTCCATCCAAAAATTCCCCATTTCCAAAAGTCAGGTAAAATATTATAATCGTAAAAGGAATTGAGATACGTAACTTACACCCTCGACCACGACTGTATTCTAAAATCTACCCGTGGAAAAAACCCAAAAATTAATTAAAAATGTATTGATATAATTATTTGTCTCCAAGCTTTGCCCGTGGAAAATCTTCTGCCTACGCTCCCGTTTGGCGGTTTGAGAGTCCAGACGACAAATTACGAATCGCCTCTCCGCTGGGAATGCTTTATAGAAATTCTCATATATTCTTTTGTACGGGGCCGACGAATAACCGTAAGGCTGCGTTTATGCCGACGAGAGAGGGAAAAACCAAACGAACTAAGGTCACTTTGCTTGTTTTCCTTCTAGTTGCCTTCGTGCAAGAGAGGGAGGGAAAAGTTCCATGAATTTTGCAACGAAATAAAGTTACGGAAAAATATGAAAAATAAACGAAACTATATTAACGTCTTTTTATTTACGGCTTTCCCGTGTTTATCGCGGCTTTTCGGGCCATTTTCTTCATATTGTACAGATGACCGGCGTTGTTCATATTGTACAGATGACCGGCCATTTTCTTCATATTGTACAGATGCAACGCGTTGATGTTGTTGCGCGGAATAGGAGAGGAGAGAAAAATACGGAAAGTGCAACCAGAGAAACTCGCGCATTCGTTCCCCTCTTCCGCATAAAAGGCGATACAAGTACGAATTCGGATTCCAAAGGTTCTCTTCTCGCGTCTCGTAATCGCAGCCTAACGCGCGTGACGAAATTCGCTTAGTGACTTGTATGAAAATCGTTTCGAAATGCACCTTTTGTGTTTAAGCATCGGCGATGTACACCTTAGACGGCACGAAGAAAGAAGAAATGAACGTGATCGGGCATTGTGATCGAACGGACGATTCGACTAACCGGGAGGAAGAGCGCTTTCTCCTGCCGATGACGAAAGTATAACGTTTGAAACCGTCCAACTAACCAATTAGAATCTTATACGAAAGTTTATTTTCAGAACTGTCGAAATCAGCATCGGAGAATGGCCGCGGACCAGAGGCGAATTCGAGGATTTCCACCCCCGTCACGCTTCATAAATTTCTACAATTGCGTGTTATTGCTTGCCTCCTCGTTATTCGTCTATTCTCTTTTGAAAGTAAGAATGACCGAGCAGAAAATAGACCGTTGGCATTTCCACTAATCCGATTAATTAAAGAGATCCCGGTTTCGTTAAGGGCCTCGCCGCCACTTGGATTTTACTTCTCGTTAGATTCACTCAATCACTAAACCAATCACTTTTTTATTTAGTGATTGAGTGAATTCGTCGTCTCGTGTAGGTTTGTTTCCGGCGCGAAACCAATGCGAGAGACGACACTCGAAATAAAATACATTTATAAAGATTTACCCGTTAAAACTTGCTTTTATCATTAGGTTTCTGTCTTTACCGAGGGAGAGTGACGTCAAAGATTCTCGATGTTTCAACAATTACGTAATCAATAGAAGTATCGATCGATGTTAAAATACACTCGCGTAAATTCGTTATTGAGAGACCAATCCGTTAGAGACGGGAGCGTCGATACCATCTCTTTCTTCCCTTCTTTCTCCCGATACAGAAAGATTGACGGAGGGAGGAATTTCTAATTAATTTTTTTACAGTGGCAGGGAGCGGCGCGTGATCCAGAGTCGTCTCTTTCTCCAATTTATCGACGGGATCCGACGGTCAGAGGAAACGGCAGAGAAAAAGAGCGGGTCGGAGAGGAGACCGGAGTGAGTCCTTCGCAGATTTTAGTTGGGTCTTTCCGCGGAATCTTATTAATCGTTTGTCATTTAGGAAAAGACGGAGGCGAGAAGAAAGAGCCAGAAGGACGGTGTCTCCCTTCTGGAAGGCGCAGTTTTCGAGACGGGATGTCTCTTGGCCCAGGTAAACCGATTCTCCGAAGGAATCTAATCCCTTTTTTCTTCGATTTTCACAATTACGGTACTGGTAATTCCAAAATACAGCTGAAGAGGGAGTGGAACTATCGCGCGGATCTGTGGAAATCGCCCCATTTATCGGAATTTTTCGGGTAAGAGCCGATCGAACTTCTCCTCTCGGGACACGCGTCTTTAACCAAAGAAAGACTGCATTCTTCCTCAGCCAGAACCTCTCCGAACAATGGAAGGACGACCGGAAGTTCGCGGAAGTGTTTCGCGAAAGATTGGCCCGATTGTCCGAGAAGGTGGAAAGTTTGGAAAATAGAGTGGTGAAATTTAATGGTTCGAAAGGCGCCGTCGACGAAACACCTAGGATTTAGTTATTTTCGATTCGATTTATATAAAAAATTAAGTTTCATTTTAATAAATTTCTGTTAAACAGTGCGCAAAAGACTAGCTATTCGGTAAAAAGCGTAATAATGACGCTCTAGCGTTTACTGTCATTTTCCGAGAGATCCGTCGATGTCCGGACGACGTTTAGAGAAATTCATTGGAATTTATGAAAATCGACATTCCGGGCGACGGAAATTTCAACGTCGCTCGAGCCGATGACGAAACAAAGAAGGAGAGTACAGTGGTCGAGTGGGGGCGCAATTTATTACGTAACGTCCGGCGGATTCGTTCTGGAGTAAAATCACGTGACTGCAAGGAGCGCGAGCGATGGAGGAGAGACAGGAACGTCGCGCTCGTTTTGGAGGATGTCACTGCGGAAGCGTTCGATTCGAAGTGTGGACGCCCGATCCGGTCAAGGTCGTGATTTGCGAGTAAGTATCCTCGTCGCCCTCGAAATTCGAGCTAAACGAACAGAAACGAAAAATATTCGGGGAGTGAGGGAAGTCCTTGGCGTTTGGCGCCAAGAGAGAAGGTTGGAGACGAGTTAGCGGCGATGGTGTGTTCGTTAATCGAGAAGGAAAGCAATTTATCGCCAAAATTACCTTCGGTTGTCCGAAAGATGACGTTCGTAGACCGAAGAAGATCCGAACTGGAGACAAATCGACGCCGCGCGTGGTCGGACTCGTAGATAAGTCCGTTTCTTTCCATTTCGGCTTTTACCAAGTGGAAGCCGTCCGCCAGGCCGAGATTTTGCCCGACGATGGCGGTAATTCCTTCGGGCGATTTCCGCTTTGGTTATTCCGAAACAAGACGAAAACCGAGGAATTGTGCCTTTCTGATATTTTCTCTTCCGGCGAGTAACTATTTAATGCGCGCTTTCCTACCTTTCGACCACGACGCTAACAGGCAACTCGAGTACAGTGCCTAAGTTTAACCAAAATCAGAAAAGAAAGTGTATTAAAAGTTAAAATTCGTATTTTCTAGCGAAAGAACGGACCATGAATATGTACCGAAGCTATTTCGAGCTTAAAAATTACGTGATTGTATTGTAGGAAAACAACGAGAGTCTTGCCAATCTTAAATTATAGACGAGGCTTCGGCTACTTACAGTTTGACTATGGCCAAAACTAAGCAGCCTTTCGACATTTGTTATAACGTAGTAACTAGCCCCATAGTTCAATCGCCGTTAGCTAACATAATTAAAATATAAAATTTTAAAAAACAGGCAAATTTATAACAAAAAGTTAACCAAGTTATTAAATAAAAAATACATAGAATAAATTTATATTTGATTACCTTTTGTGCGAAACAACACTAAAAATTTCTGTATTATGCCGCAGAAAAGAAGAGTTGCAATTAATTAAAACAAAAATGAAATTAAGGTTAAAAAGAATGTTTAGAATTAATGCAAAATTAAATATATAAAAATTATTAATTAAATTTTCAATCGGCTATTAATAAGCCCGAAAACCGAACTTATGACACGGAAGTGACTGTTCTTACGATTAAATCAGTGGTTCCCAATTAGTGGTACGCGTACCCCTGGGGGTACGCGAAATTGCGTGAAGGGGTACGCGCGGCAATCTAAACTCGGTCGATTTAAAATTTAAATGCACGAGATGAAGCAACCAAAAGAATAATGGGTGGACCATCAAAAATTCGGCAATTTACAACACGATGTCGAATGCACAAATTCGTTTATTTATAACTAAAAATATTCTCGAAATTTCATCAAAAAAATGCATTTGCGACAATACCTAAATGAAATTCTTACGCAAGAAACAAAAATTGTACAATTGACACAATTTGTGTTAATTGTACAATTATCATTATCATCTTGTCAGCGAAGCGGCAATAAAATAATTACTACCGTTTTGCGCAACATACCTCTGCCAGAGCGGATTTTCGGCCGAGACAAACACGAAAACTAAACATCGTCATCGACTTCGACTCGAAGACGACTCGAGACTGAAGCTGACCAAAAAGTAACCATATTTTACAAAGTCGTGCAAAGAAAATCGTGCACATTTGTCGCATTAAAATTAAATAACCTTATGTTATTTTCATTATTATTAAAATTGTATTTTAAAGGTAATAAATGTAAAAAAAACTTATTCTATTTATTACTAGCTGTCTACCCACGGCTTCGCCCGCATTATATCGAATTTTCTCGTTGGAATAAGATATTTTCTCGCAGTAAAATGTAGCCTATGTCCATCTCCAACGTGTAATCTATCTGTGCCAAATTTTATTAAAACCTGTTTAGCAATTTAGACGTGAAAAGGTAACAGACAGACAGAATTACCTTCGAATTTATAATATTAGTATGGATTAATATGGATTTCTGCTATAAGGGGTACGCGAGTTTTACCTCTTTATTGAAGTGGTACGTAGGAAAAACTAATTGGGAACCACTGGATTAAATTTTATCGACTTCGGTGTGCATTTCGGTCGTATACATCAATTCCTCTTCATTACATCTAATATTGTGCCCAACTGAAGAGGAATTAATGCGTACGACCGAAATGCACACCGGAGTCGATAAAAGTTAATTGATAAAACAGTCACTTCCGTGTCGTAAGTTCGGTTTTCGGGCTTAATAGCCGATTGAAAATTTAACGCAGTTATCCAAACAAGAGGCATTTTATACTACAAAAACGATCAAAAATATTTATTAAAACCAAATTAATACTAAACAAATTAAATCTAAAATTAATTAAAATTAAAAATAATAATTAAAACTCTGGCCTTTACATCAAAACCCAAACTAAAACTAAAATTAAAAATAAAATCAAATCGATCGAAAATTAAAAGGATGTTTTTAAAAACTGTTTTGAAATTTACGTTGTTTGTGTGCAGCGGTGTGGAATTCAATTATCTAGTGTTAAAAGAATTAGAACACGACGTACGGTAATTAAAATAAAGCGCGATAACGATTTAAACCGGCATTCCGCTTTTCGTCGTTACGCGCATAATTAATTAGACCATACGATATAATAACCCGAATGCCGGTTTAAATCGTTATTATATCGTATAGTCTAATTAATTAAGGGTATAACGTGTTATAAAATTGATTGCTGATGGATTTCTCCAACTAGCCGACGTAATAAATAAATGGAGTTTTTATAAATTAATTTTTAAAAATATAATGCGATTGTATGTAAAAATTTAATCTTTGCGGCAAAATTTTAACAATATTACGATCTTAGAGAGCGGTACGCGATAAGAAAAAACAGATCAATTGTAGGCGCGAAATATGGCAATTAAAAATTTACTAAACACTTAGGAATGAACGGATGAAGCATTCGGGAAAAAGATTTCTCCGCGGCTTATTTAACTATCGGTTAAGCGTTTTCCACTTTCTGGACAACACCGAGAAATTTACATTGACGCAACGATTCTACGCCAAGACCTAGGCAAATATCCGTACGATATCACCCATAAACCCAGGCGCAAAATCTTGATTTTTAGACCAATTTTCGTAACTCCGAGTCCGAATTTTTTACCTAACCGATTCGAGTTAAACCAGTTCCGCTGTATTGCATTTTCCTACTAGACATATTACTAGTAGGAAAAAGTATTATATAAAACGTTAATTATCTATGGAAAAACAGTATAAAAATTAATAGTTTCTTACAGTTGGTGATGGATTTACAAGAACTTTCTTGTGCCAAAGAGCGGAAGATGTGGAATTTCTCTCATATTTTGAGACAAAATTCTTTTATGTTTTATAGTGAAATTTATGAAGTAATTTATTTTTATTATTGAAATTGTAAACAGCATGGAATCGTACAAAACTGTCAAATACAACAAAATATTAATAAAACCACGGAAACCTTTAGCAGCCAGGAAGTAAACAGTTTGCTTAATTAATGCGAATTTTGAATGACCGTCTTCGGGCAACCGAAAATAGAATATAACAAAATAGGGCGAATCAAATGACCACACGAAGAAAAACGAAAACACGAATATTAACTTAATCCCAGATCCACCCAAATAAAGTACTTAAGCAATGGATGCATAGGCTATAAACTAAGTTTTGTACTTTAGAGTTCAATGTCAATTTCCGGGCATTGAAAATGGGGAAAAGTACCATTAGAACTGATACAAGAATCTTTCGAGAGTGTATTTTTCTTCACACATATAGACTAATTAATATCGGCCATATTCTTATTCTGGTAAACTTCCGTTTTCAGCTGCAGTATCTGCGAAAAAAAGCGGTTGCGACACTTCATAGTGGAAGACAAACATTTCCGTCTGCTTCGAGGAGCCGACAATCTAACGCTCTACACCTTCAACACCGGTCGAGCCAAACACTACTTTTGTAAAACCTGCGGGGTCGAAAGTTTCTACCGGCCCAGATCGAACCCCGAAGGAGTCGGTAAGTACCCGCATTCATCCTTGGGAACTACAGGATTATTCTCACAAATTTCTACTTCATTATAATTCTAGGAGTAGTATATCGCTGTCTGGATTCGGAAACGCGACCTTCCTGCCAAAAACTAACCTTTCACGGCATCGAGTGGGAAAATGAAATGAAAAACTTCGATTCTACTAATTTGTTATCTTAGTTTTCAAAAATAAAAATACCGCGACGTTTTACGTTTCGTGTCGACCGAATTGCGCGCATTTTTCAGATTACCTTCGAACCGTAATGAAACAATGCGCACCAATGAATTACGTGTACTTAATTAAATGTTAATTTTTATTTCAAGTTTGTTCTAAAGTGGATCATTGAAGATGCTACAGAAAATACACAACATCAAACATGAAATGTAAACGCTTTCTCAAAGTGGTTTTCGTCTCAGTTTAACGCCCATAAACTCGATGCATTTTGCCTCGTTTGTAACTTACTATGACGAATATAAAATTCATCCAGATTTAACCGATAATGAGCCTATATTTTTGTTTTTGGCTCTTTCCGTCCTACAGGTACTAAGAGGCCTTATTTTCAGTCAACTCGTTATAGACGCGGACAGGCCCTCAATGGGCAACCGGGTGGCGACGGACTGGCAGCTCCCCCGAAAAATTTCCGGGTTTTTTTTGACTCGTCTGGATTCGTTCGATCGCAGTTTCCCGGAGAAGTAGGCTGTCAAATGCTTTAACCGTTTGGCCATTCGGCCTTCAGTTTATTTATATTAATATTACTAAGCAGGGGCGGATCTACCTAGAGATTAATAGGGCCTAAGCCCTGGGCCCGCAAAAATTGAATTTTTATCATAAATTTTTAATACTTTTTCATTAACATCGAGCACTTATCGTATAGTAAAAAATAGTTAATATTAATAATATAATAATAACGATCATTTATAATATTATTTGTATTAACAAAAAATGGGGCCCCATTGGACTCCGATAAGCCCTAGGCCCCGAAAAACCTAGATCCGCCCGTTACTAAGAAATAATCAGTCAAATACTCTTACTGGTATATTTTTAAGGAGTTGCGCGTGCTTAAGTCTATTGACAAAGTCATAAAATTATTGGGAATTCGTATCAAAACTGAGTTCGATAAGTACTAGGAATTGAGTTTAACGGACAGTTCTCTGCCACACAATTGTGTATATGAACGGGCAGTTGTCTGATGTTAAAGCATATGTATGTACTGTACTGTACACCGCATCGCGTGCAACCGTAACTTTGCATTGAATTCTAATTGTTTATACTGTAAATAACGTTTTGAGCATGGTTACTCTTTTAATGCTTGAAATTTTTATTTTATAAACATTCGTTTCTGAGACGGGTCGAAACCCTGAAAGATCCCGATTTGCGTTAGTGCGCTCGCGATTTGACCCAACACGTAGTCCGTGCACGACGAGATAGCCTTTCTAGTTCTGAGGGTAATTCGGTACAGGGACAATCCAAGCCGAATTTTCGCTTGTTTCGATTTTGGTTTTGAAAACGATACAAGCAAAATACTGGATTATATTACGATCTTTAAAGAACTAGCGAGGCGAACGATAGGTAGAGTAGCGCGTTGAAGGAAAACGGCATTATATTTAAGTCTTTTATAGCATTAGTGAGTTGCTACTACGGCGCAAACTAGTCGATATCTAAGCAAACTGGTTGGAGGCGACGTCGATCGACGTAGGTTCGACCACAAATCGTACGGTCATCGACGGAAAATAGGCGGTCCCTTCGATGATGCTCGGATCAAACACGTCGCGGCTTAACAAAGCGAACATTACTATACTGGAACGAGAACACTTCTGGCTATACGCATTCATATTTTATTAAAGAACTAAAGATATATGCATCATCCCGACAAAATATGAGTGTTATCGTGTTCTGCTATTTTTACCACAAGTTCCGTACATTCGGTTCCGAGATATCGATTTTTATCGGTATTTTTCATTGGGCTGCAATTTGAAAAGATTGAAGACCCGTAAATTCCCACTGTCGTCCGTCTTTCCTTAATCTCGAGAACGGTGTTAGATAGATGAAAGTCGCGACCAGATATGGAAAGCTTGGAGGAATAGGCCCCCATTAACTATATACAAACTTCCGGTATGGACCGGAGGTCACGTGAATTTAATTTTTCCTAATGGAGTTACATAGATGGCGGGCGTAACTCTGTTTTTACCGGGAAAAGTATAATGACAAGGGCAAGAAACTATTAATTTGAGAGCCGAAAAGTTACGCATTTCGCGAGCGTAACTTTTCGGCTCGTCATTATGATGTCATTTAAATTCTATCAATCTATAGTAATTTAACGTTCGAACTCTGAAACGTTCGAAATTAGAATCGTTGGAAGTACAAGATACCACTGCGTATTTGTCGAATTAAATAAAAATTGGTTAGATTTTACTTTTCTTATTTTAGTTTCATTAAATTATCGACCATATATTTACTGAGCTATTTGGTAGCGAAATCTATTAGTGATAAAACAACTATTACAAATAATGAAAAACTAGAGGATTTGCATATGACTCGCTTCTTCATATTCTTCAAAAATATGCTTATTATTCGATATTACCACCAAATTATATCGAAAATCCTGCGGTTATTTTCCTGTTAGATACGATGTGACGTTGATCATGCGCAATTCTGCATACTATTGATTATTGGATTTGGTTCGTATATACGACTATATGAATTACGATAAAATATCTACGAAATACAGAATATTCTTACAGAGATTGTACCCTCGTTTTAATATTGACAACTGCGAACTTTCCGACAGTACGGCAACAACCAAATGGAGTCGATTGCGGTGTATATGTAATCGCTTTTGCTATCTCCTTAGCGTTTGGTATCAAACCGGATATAGTTAGGTATGATCGTAGACAAATGAGTTCACTTGTTGGAAATATTTATTGCGTCTAAACTAGAGCACTTTCCACAGATACCATTTAAAAAATGCTATTGGAAAAATTAAGCCCTTGGCACTTCTTCCGAATAATAATTTGAAATATAAAGTATTATTTTAGAATTTATCTTTCCATTTATTTCTCTAGTATGGAGAATCCATACGCGACGTCTTTCATCTTACGGCCTTCCACGGATTGTACACGCATTGTAGATGAGTGAACTGGTGTAACTGTTTATATACCGCACAAAATGAAAAAAATACCAGGTAAAAGCTCCAAAAACATATTTCTAAATCTTAAAGGTACAGAAACAGCAGTCAAGCATTCGTTTTCCATAAAATGTAATACCTTTATTCCACGCTTACGTATTACATTCATAATTGTTTTGCTATGGAAAGTTGTGATACAGAGACGTTAAGTAATCTTCGCAACGTTAATTAAAAGTTGTTTCGAACACCATATACCGTAGATACACGAACACTAGGCAATCTTCATTTTAAAATTTATTTCATTTTTACTTGAATAAATTTTAGTTAATTAAAAGCTGTAAAATGTAATTCGTGACATCAAGATTTATTTCATTACTAGAAATTCTCCCGTCAAGTATGACAGCTTTCTGTGAGAAAGTAGAGATTGAATAATCGAGAAGAGGACATATTTCAAGAAATTCAAGAAAAGTAACTAATATTTCTACAAATTCAATAGCTTATACTGTCCGTTAGAACATAATTAAAGCGCGACAATGCATTTTAAATAACAGGCTCGACGGCTGGATTGTCGAGCGGTCAAAGTGGCAGCCTACCGCTCCGGGGGACCCGGGATCGAATCCGGACGGGTCGAAAAATCCCCAGAAAATTTTCGGGGGTGATCCGTTCGGATATGTCGGACCCCGTCCCTCACCACCCGGTCGCCCCAGTGTGGGCCTGGCCAAACCCGTAATGGGCTGGCTAAAAAATGCCCTCCTAGTGCCTACAGAGCGGAAAGAGTTAAAAAAAAATAATAATAACAGGCTCATTAGATCGTTACTTCCGATTGATAATAGAACGCGTGGTCACCGTGGAAAGAGTTTTTAAAAAATATTTGCTATAGAAGTGACAGGATGAGGATATATATTTTTTTTAATTTTAACTTTAATGAAGTAAGTTTAAAATACGCCATTTGCCAAAATATTTAAAAATGCAACTTAGGGAAATTCCGTCATCAAGCTTGGACTAAATGAGGTCACTGCAACGACCGATCTACGCGTACTCGACGGCAGTTTCTGTACCCGTAAGCTTTACACGTATGTTTTTGGGAGATTCTACTAAATGATAAATGTTCGTCAGATAATATTTAAACAGAAGATAAAAGCAGAGGAATACAAAGTTTAATCTTCGTTTACGATTATCAATTACTAAGATAATCGGTTAATGTATTTTAATACGTGAGTAAATGAGCACGCGCGTGTGCGATAATTTCGGTTTTAAATTTGGTTAAGCGATTATTTTAAAAAAATGCAAGCTAGTTTGTAGATTGTGTTCCATTTGCCGAGACGTTCGCGTGGACTCCGCAGCAAACGGAATTTAACTTGGGAAAATAGATTTAAGCCAGAAACGATTAATCGATCGACGAAGGAAGTTCGTAATCATAAATTGAATTAAAATTTACTATTTCGAAACGAATTTTAACGTAGGAAGTTCTTGGCCACAATGGCGGATGCGCGATTTAACAAAAAGCAATTTCTACGCCAATGATATTCGATCAATTTGGATGAAATACGTATCTAATTTCTGATCGAAAGTTATTTAATTTGAATCGATATTGCGAAAGTAGAAATAACCTCGCGACTCGCGGATAAACATTTTTCTTATCGAATGAGATTATCCTAAAAATTCCTTTATCTAAATATTTAACCGGGACAATAATCGTGTCGTAAGTCAATAGATAAGCGCGTGATGAATAATCTAAGTCCTTTTTCCGCTCAAAATATTAGAAATAAAGAACGACTGTTCTTGAAGACCAAAATAAAAAAGAAATTATTCTGACGTTTCGCTTCGTATAAATTTTTATTCTGCCACATTTTTCTACTTGACATTTACATTCGCATCTGTTTAATGTATATCTGCGTGTCTAATAATACAGTATATATATATTACGGGTAATTCCTCGTATAACACGGTTGTTACGTTCCGAAAAAGTGCCGTGTTATACGAAACAAAGGACTGATGCAAAACATGGGTTACGTTCCAGAAGTTAGTAACGAAAAATAATAATATACTTTTGTT